AGCAGGAATCTAAGAAAATCAAAGCAATTTCTGCATTTGGGTCCAAGTTGAAGGAAAAAGAGAAAGTCAGGTGAGGGTAGTGAATCTGAATGCATGGGTTTGGAATGCTTATTTACTGAATGGGGCTCATTTTTCCTGGCATGGTGCTCCACTGGAATTGTAGTTCAGGTGCACCATGTACCCATACAGAAAGAACTGCGTATATCCCACAATAATTCTTAATCAGTTTCCTCTTATTACTGTATAATTAAGGAAATGTATCTGTTGGTTTTTCCCCATGATATGTGACGTGGTAAGCCATATTTGTCAGAAATGCAACATAAATGACAAATTCCATGAACCATTGCTGACATCAAATATTTAAATTCATAAACATCAGAACAATAGTTTTATATCAAAAGTGTCAAAATATGTAGTTCCAATCAACAAATAAGAGTTTATAGCTCAAAAAGAGTAGATGAAAAATCTTAACAAAATATTGGTTGATTTTTTTAAAAAAAATAGAAAAGGAATACCAGCAATGTATTCAGTATGGTAATTTCCTAAAAACTTTTAAGGAACTATAGAGTCTTTTTTGTATATGTGCGTTGGTCTGGTCAAATAGATTTTTTTCATTTTCTGAACTGGCCCAAAGTATTTAATTTCATTGTGTTATATCCACACAGAATATTTCACCTTCTTTTTTGCATTTTTTTTCCCCTTCTGCAGGACTCCGGGACTCCTGCCAATGCTGTCAAGACTTGTGTGAGAAGTTGCATTGCACTACTTACAAAATCACATTGGCATTGATGTTGGTACTTTTTTGGTAAATTTAAAAAAAAATAATATAAACACTTGTAATCATGGCATGCCTTTTTAAATATCCAAGAAAGGTCAGAAATGCATGAGCTGCTGAGGTCATCCTCATACCACTAAGCTCTGGGCATTTTATTGTGCACTGGTGTTGATGGGCTTCAAGATATTTATGCTGCTATTAAATCTATGTACTCAATGTATCATAAAAGAATTAATTATAGTTAACCCAACTGGTAACAGTACATTATTTTAATTTTCAGAAACATCATGGCTCAAGCACCGGGACAACAAAGGAGCAAGGGACTCGGCTCTGCCAGTGTCATATTTAATGGTACTGAAGAGATCACTTCATCTATTTAAGTCTCAACTTCACCTCCTATGAAAAGAGGATAATAATGATTTTCTCTGCATCTGCTTTGACATCTCCAAAGAAAAGGTGTTGCGTAATAGCAACGGTTATAATTCCTGTAACTTTGCCTCTCCCATTCAAGGAAGAAGGGAAAACAATAGCAGCCCAACCTGTATTGATGGAAGATTCTTCCTGTGCCAGTGAGATCATATATGTAAAACCGCGAGCTAATCTGTTTCTGATAACCTTCTTCAAGGATTATCTATGTCGCTTGCCTGATACAACATTCCTCAAATTATCCGGACTTCCTGGGGCTACAGAGCAACAGCGCTCACTTCACAGGAACATAAACCAACAAGTCTAGCTGTTCTGGCAGATTCGGAAAGCACAGGCACGAAACAGAACTATAGAAAATAGAACACCGCGGGGTGGCTTGTGTTTTTTGGGGGTTTTTTTGTTATTATTTTTCCCCAAAACTTAGGTGAAAAAATATTCCCTCCTCCGTGCCTACGGAGGGTGAAGTCACGTGGTTTGCCCGCGTCCCCGGCTCTGTCCATGGTGCTGACTCCCTCCTGCGCGGCCTCGACCCGAACCGACTTGTCCTTGGGTGGAAGCTCGGAGCATTCGCAGGGATAGAAATCCCAGTCGGAGGGACACAAACATTTACAGCTAGCTTCAAGCTCTGCTTTAGCAAACAGACCTCTAGCCGTTTTTCCTAACGGCAGACAGCAATGGTGATCTTACCCTCGGCTAACAGCATGTCAAGGCCAGTTATCTTTTTTAAAAAAGTGCTTGCTTATTAGTGGCTCTTCCTCAGCTGACGTGGTATCAGTTGCAATAGCAGGGGGAAACATTAAGCCTGCACGTTTTTTATACAGGAAGTGGTTAAAATTTTAGCTATTTAGAATTGCAGGAAAACACCCATTTGATGCAAAGGCAAGATTGAATTTCATTTGAGATTAAATCAACTAACTCTCAAAGTGCTATGGGAACTTGAAAGGAAATCCAAACAGCTAACCCACAAATTCATAATTCATCTTAAATTCAGTACACCCAACAGTACAATGATCATTTCCTGATTTATTTGCTCAAAGGAAAGACTATCCTCAACCTTTTCCTGCAGCTGCCAGTCTTCCTTTGGAGCCACTGATTCAAGTAGTAATATGAAATAACTTTACCTGCCTTAAGGAAGCTAGTAGGAGATACAGCTGTGAAACTTTGAGAGCCTTTTAATTTTTCCTGTATAGTTAATCTTTTGGCTTATCAAGAAAAATTAAAAAATAAGTACTTTTTTCTTAAAAAAAAATAATTTTTTTCTTTTTAACTAGACAGAAAGCCAGAGATATCTTACCTGCCTGCTTTCGTGATAATCATCTCTGTCCCAATGTCATGAAATCTTTTCCAGAGGTCAGCACACTGCAGCTCTACCTGGATCTCTTCCATGGATGAAGGTGGAGGAGGCTGAGGGCCTGAGCCACCAGATGTAAGGTCAGAATGGGAGCCAAATGAGCACGATGTCCTTTCTGCCAGCACTTCTGTGTCTGACCCAGTGCTCTGCTCTGAGTCTGCAAAGTAAAAACACCAGGTAAGACACTTCACTTCTACCTGCTGTAAGGGGTAACAGGAGGGAAGAGGAAAGCCAACAAGCAATTAGCCTTTTATATCTACATAAACACATGTATTTTCATGGTTTGTTGTGATTTATGGCCTGATTTAGGTTTCCTAATGACATCTGGCATCTTTGTAAAGATTTAGAAACAGCTGAAAAACAGGACTCTCAACATAACATACAAATAGTAACAAACAATGTTGGGAACGGAGTACAAAATATAGGCTTAAAAAAATAAAAATAAAATAAAAAAATTCAACCCATAGTTTCAATCCAAGATTAGATGGGCTCACTGGAAAACTACATTCCATGTAATCAAATATTATCCCACACTAGTATTGAAAAGTTGGTTATTTTTAAATAACACATTTTTCTTGTTTTAATATCCTTGTCATCAAAAATAATGAGCATTTTTTTATTTTGCTATTTGGCAGCACCATTTTGGAAATTTGTTTTATTTGCTTCTATAATATCTTTCTTGGAACAATGACATTTCCTGGGAAAATAATCATGCAGCTTTTGCAGAAGAAAGTGCTCTAGGCTACTAAAGGACAAAAAGGAAAGATAGGGAACATAAGGAATATGTTTCCAATGAAAGCAACCGAAGCAAACTGCAGAAAAAAGCACATCAGACAATGAGTTCTCTTTATAGGCGACAAGAAGAAAACTTGCTCAAAAAATAAGCAAACAAACCAGAAGGAGAAGTTGGACTATTTTAAAGTTCAGGTTGGTGTGTTGAGTCAGATGGCCACTTCTTTTGTAAGAATATCTCAGCTATGTATTAAGTAGGTATGGTCCTAGTTCTCATATAGTAGGGTTAAGACAGAATTCTGTGAATAGCAGTGTTAGTTTGCGACAGGGTGCACCCTCACACTACAGCAAAATAATTCACAATACATTCTGTAAAGCAATGTGTTTATGTTTCAAACTTTATTTTTAACAAATTCCATTAGTATTACATGGATGATTGACAGAGGAAAAAAAATGATGTGAAATAGTCAAATGGCTCACGAAGAACTCTGTGGATTTCAAAAAGGTAGCGAGCATCCCAGTGAAGGAATAAAACAACTATTTATACATATTCTCTGCACTTTAGAAAGAAAGAGATATCTCTGTTTGCAAGGGAAACTTAAGGAGACAAAAAGTAACAAACTGTGTTAAAAATACGATAATATCACCCCAGCTAAAATTCCTTCCATACTAAGCAAATGCCAGAAACTCATTAATAACCCTGAGGTCATGCAAGCTAAGTTTCAGACTTACAGTTTTTCTGAAAGACAGTGTCTCCTGGAGCAGCTTACACATCACTGCAGAGGGCTGCAGCTAAGAAGAGGCTGGGGCTGAAGAAGCCACCTGCAGAACAACCAACTCCACCTCCTGACACATGGAAACATTTCTGGAAAATTCATGCTGCTACAGTGACACAGACATGAACTCTTTGGCTGATATTATATGAGAAACTTCCAGCCTCAAGTGCCGTCAGGAAGTATTTATCTTATGTGAGAACCCTAGATAACATGTCATTGGATAGTGGACATTTTGCCTGAAGGACATTTTCAGTAGACTTTGCCAATGACTCAACAATCTGCCAGTACAATGTCAAAATTCTGTAGGACATTAGAAGGATTTGGTATGTGATTCTCTGTGATTCTGTATGTATTTCTCCCAATCTGTTTTGAATATGAAGTCCTCTATGCCTCCCACTGACTTCCAAGTTGGGCTGAAGCAGTAAGAGATCAATCCTTCTAAAGCAGTGGCACAAACCTCCCAACAGAGACTTGTTATGTGGAGACCAGTCCTACATCCAAAACTGATATTCTAGACACAAGATGATTCAAGATAATGGGAGACAACTTGCTGGGGTTCTGTGCTCACAGGACAGAGAATCAATCTGAGAATACAGAGGGACTAAGACATTTGCTCCCTACTTCAGAAGCCCAGCAACGCAGAATCAAAGTGATACTTAGCAGTTTCTTCTAGCTCACATTATTCCACCTCAAAGGGTTGGAGTGGGTAAGCCTGAGTAGGGGTCACTATGCACAGAACATTTGTTTTCCTAGTGGTGATTAATCACTTTATCCTTCAACAAAAATCAAGAGTATGCTTCACAAATCACAGTAGGACACTTTTGAATATCTGCTTATGTACTGAACCATTAACCAAACGTCTTACCATATTCTCTGAGGTTCTAAGAGGGTAAAGGTATACTACTCTAGGAGTCTGAAGAGACTGGACCTAAGGAAAAGGTTCCCTTATAGAGTCGTCCTCCCGAAATGAGGCATTAAACTGCAGGTTTGAACCTAAAGAGACTGGTTTAGGCCACATTACCTGTGCTTGGTTCAGGCACTCAGAAACTCTCTGCATCCTCTGAAGCAGTATGGTTAATGGCCAATAGATGGCACTTGGCTAGATGCCGTCCCTGCATCCTTCCAGCATTTCCTGGACAAACTCAAACAGGGCATGTGGCTGGAGCCTTAGGGATCCCTAGGAAATGACTGGAATTGCACGCTGCAGAAAACTAAATATTAGAGGGTTAAGGCCCCTCTCACTGTTTTTATGCTGATGTCACTCCTATAATCTTACAGACTTTTGGATTATTTTTTGACAGTGATGGAAGTGGAAGGAGAGCCACTATGAATATAACTTGCCATGCTGCCATAAATAAAAAATTGCAAAAGGAATTAAGGAATTACTGACAAGCTGGTATCTACCCAACCATGCAATACCACACAAAGTAGAAAAGAACTTTTTTCTTCCAAGCATTAATGATTTTTGCCCTGAAATATGATCTATCATTATCCTCAAATTAATGCATAAAACAGTGAATACCGCTTCTTCCTCCAGTCTTGGAAATGGGAGTGACATAGTCACTAGTGTTGCTGAACTTAGTTCAGATTCAGTAGGCACTGAGATGGATTTTGTATTTTCTTCACCCTTTCCTTAGCTAAGACTTTCTGAATGGTGTCATCCAGTTGGAGACACTGATTTTACTCCAGATCCAGGAAGTTCTGGGCAAGTTGAGTGCATCTGACATATGAAAATCATACCTAATGACACACAGCTCTATAAGGCTCTGTGACTCTTGAGTTGCCTACAGTTGTCAACATCTGTAAGTGAGTATCATACGGTGGACTGCAAGGTGCACCATTTTCAGTATGTAGTAATTAATTCTGGCATCTAGCACAGCTCAAGACATTCTGCTGCACATATTTGCTCATAATAAAACAAGACCAAAGTTTTCTTCTGGCATTTGAATTGCAGGCTTGGTTTTCTTCATGCACCGGCTTCAGTGGTGTGCAACTTCACTGAACTCAGAGGTGTTACTTCTACATTATGTTGCTGTAAGTAGAGGGGAATTAAGGAACACCTCCTGAAGCTCCAACTCTTGTCGGAGAAACAAAACATAAACACACACCTGTGAACACCCTGAGGTGGACTTTGTGGCTGGTGCTACATATTGTGTCTGACTGAAGGACAAACAGAAGGGTTTTTGAGGAAGATAAGCTTCCTATAATTTTCTCTAGCTCCAAAGTGACAAGATAAGATTTTTTTTCCTTTCCTTAAAGACGTGCTTGGTACAAAACCCCACATGCTAAACTGAAGATCCAGACACATGGAAATGCAGAACCCTCATGCAGTGGCTTCCTTTCAGACTTGGAAGACCTCCTCAGACTACTGCCATAGGAGTGCTGGTTCTCTGGTGCCACGTTAGGTATCAAGTCCTGTCCCTTTTGCCATAGGTTAGGCTAGCGGCAAATGAAAGGGCTTTATGGTTTTCTCTTGATAGTGTACAGTCCTTGAGAAAGGGTACTTCAAAACCAATCTCATCCATTGCTGGCAACTAGCAAAAGTGGAAGTAGATGCAAATAAGTTTTCTAAACATAGAATATTCCACTGGACTTTCAGTTGGAACAGTCTCAGAACTAAATGTTCCTCATTGTTTTTATGGGCACCCATGAACTTACATTTTCTGATCTTACCTACTTTTCTCAACAAGGTCCTTCCCCTTGCCTGTCTGCTTGAAGAAGGGCCCTTCCTGTTGCACCATAGCAATGGAGGTGAACAT